CCTCAGCCTCCCAAGTAGCTGGGACTACAGGCGCCCGCCACAATGCCTGGCCATTTTTTGGTTGCAGCCACCATTGTTGTTTGGCGGGCCCGGGCTGGGGATTCGAACCCGCCACCTTAGGTGTATGTGGCTGGCACCTTAGCCGCTTGAGCCACAGGCGCCGAACCATGAAAACTATCTTTAATGGGCTCATCAATAAACTTGGCATTGATGAGAGAACAATCAATAACTTGAGAGATAGGTCAACAAAAATTACCCAAACAGAAACCTAAAAAAAGTATTAAGACCTACAACAGAGTATTAAGAGCTAAGGGACAATATCAAATAGTTCAGCATGTGAAATTGGAATCCAACATGGAGAAGAAATTGGGCAAAAGAGTATCTGAAAAGTTGATGATTGAGAATTTTCAAAATACAGTATAATAAAAGACAACACTCATGGATCCAAAAAGTTTTGATAAACCTAAAAACTTTCTTACAAAGGAATATATATACTTAGCATATGATCAAATCTCACCCTAAGGTAATTTACACAAGCAAAATGAGAACCTATATCCATACACAAACCTGTATGTGAATGTCTATAATGGTTTTATTTATTTATTTATTTATTGAGACAGTCTTACTCTATCACTCTGGTTAGAGTGCTATGGCATTAGCTCACAGCAACCTCAAACTCTTGGCTCAAGAGATCCTCTTACCTCAGCCTCCCAAGTAGCTGATACTACAGCTGCCCATTACAATACCTGGCTAATTTTTTTTATTTTTTAGTAGAGATGGAGGTCTCGCTCTTGCTCAGGCTGGTATCAAACTCCTGGAGTCAAGCAATCCACCTGTCTTGACCTCTCAGAGTGCTAGGATTACAGATGTGAGCCACTTGCACTATAATGGTTTTATTTATATTCTCTAAAATATTGAAACAACCCAAATGTCTATCAACTGACAAATGTACTATAAAAAGAAAAATAACCCTCTGATATATCCATACAAGGGGATTTTACTCAGCCATAAATAGGCACAAATTACTTATAATGATATGGATGAATCTCAAATATAACATGCCAAGTGAAAGAAACCAGACCCAAAAGGCTATATAGAATTTCACTTATATTACATTCTGAAAAAGGTAAATCTAGGGCCAGAGTACAATGAGTGGTTGCCATGGGCTATGTATGGGGATAATAGAATTGACTACAGAGACAAAAGGAAGTGTAGGGGGATGATGAACGATTCTATATTTGATATGGTAAGTGTAAAATTCAAAACTACAACTAAAAAAGGTAAGGTTTTACTGTGGGTAAATTATGCTTTAAATAAACCTGATTTTTTAAAAAATGAGGTGATTTATTTTATTTATTTATTTATTTATTTATTTCTGGAGACAGAGCCTCAAGCTGTCCCACTTGGTAGAGTGCCATGGCATCACAGCTCACAGCAACCTCCAACTCCTGGGCTCAAGCAAGTCTCCTGCCTCAGCCTCCCAGGTAGCTGGGAC